ATTGATTTCAGCAAGAACCTACTTAGCAATAGGTGGGTTTAGGGCTGTGGCTTCAGAACTGTTTGCTCAAATGGTACGTTATTTCCTAATTTGATGACTATGAGACATCATCTCCCCAACTTTAAGGAAACCTAGGTTGTTAGAGGAGGGCACATTTACATCACAACAGAAAAAGATGAATTATCAGTGGGGTTTCCCCCCTTTAAATTGGTAGCCAAAATTAAGTTTATTGCTGTCTCCGTCCCTTTCACAAAGCCCTTGGAAAGCAGTAGAGTCTCGTGCTGCTCTTCAAGGAGACCTGCACCCTCCTAAGGAATGAGGAGGGCAGGGGCTCTTCCTGACCTTTTGCCGAGCCTTGCCTCATCAAATGTGGGACAAAGTGTTATTTGTAATTTTTGGATGTACTAGTGCTGCCTAAGCATGGTTGAAGTAGATACAACTCAATGTTTTTTGGTGTCGTATGGCTATTGAAAATGATCCAATGTCTCATGATTTTTCTTAATTTGTGCTTTTTATTTGAGATTCTGGCTTGAAAAGTATTGTTTTCTACTTTAAAAACGTTACTTAAAAGAAACAAACCTCTGTGATATATTGAAAGCTACATGGGGATTTTTTATTTATTTAAAAAATGATATATGCTTTCATGCTAATCCCTCCCCCCAGGTGCGGTCATTGTAAAAACCTGGCTCCCACTTGGGAGAATCTCTCAAAAAAGAACTTTCCAGGACCAGTAGATGTCAAGATAGCAGAAGTCGACTGCACCATGGAACGCAATGTCTGCAATAGATTTTCCGTAAGTATGGAAGCTAGATGGCTTTACACTGTGTTTGTGCTTAATTGTTGAAATTGCAAGTGTGTGGCTGCATGGTTTAGAGTTAACTCTCCAAAGTAACTAGTGTCTGCTACAGGGAAGAATGTGCACAGAATCTTTTCACTATGGCTTGTGTAAAAAGACATGAGCTAAAGCTGAGGAGTTTCTACATAATGTGCTTGTTGTACCTGCTTAACCGCACTGACTACGTGTGGTCAGATGTGGTTCTGAAACTACAGTGGTACCTCTGGTTGCAGACAGGATCCGTTCTGGAGGTACGGTCGGATCCAAAGGTTTCCGCAACCCGAGGACTGCTTCTGCGCATGCGGCAAAACCCGGTAAAATACTTCCAGGTTTGCCGCTTTCGCATTCCGAAGTTTACGTAACCGGAGGTACTACTGTACTGAATTTAGGGCGTGGCTTTTGGGACGCAGTGGGGACGCTTTGAAAACAGAGGAGGTAATCTCCAAAGCCCCACTGCACATACAGAGTTCTCAGTGTAGCCTTCATCATGACCAAGCTCCTTGAATACATTTCATTCTGACCAGAAACCTTTGGGGACCACTTTTCTGGCAAGGCTGGGGGAGTTGCATGCATTCTCTATATGTTAAAGGTATTTCCTCTCTCCTGGCTATCTCCAGCTGTTGTTTAACTTTAACTTAAAGCACATTGGGGACGCAGGTGGCGCTGTGGGTAAAAGCCTCAGCGCCTAGGGCTTGCCGATCGAAAGGCTGGCGGTTCGAATCCCTGCGGCGGGGTGCGCTCCCGCTGCTCACTCCCAGCGCCTGCCAACCTAGCAGTTCGAAAGCACCCCCGGGTGCAAGTAGATAAATAGGGACCGCTTACTGGCGGGAAGGTAAACGGCGTTTCCGTGTGCGGCTCTGGCTCGCCAGATGCAGCTTGTCACGCTGGCCACGTGACCCGGAAGTGTCTCCGGACAGCGCTGGCCCCCGGCCTATAGAATGAGATGGGCGCACAACCCTAGAGTCTGTCAAGACTGGCCCGTACGGGCAGGGGTACCTTTACATTTACCTTTAAAGCACCTTGCAATCCAGTTGTGTCACTGAGAGAGGAGGAGGGAATCAAATCAGTCCTGATGAGAAGTTTGTGGGAAGGGAAGCAGGAAGCAACAAGGAAGGGGGAGCCTTCCTGCTGTATGGAGATACCTGCTGCCTCTTGCTGCTTTTTTCTTTTCACAAATCTCTGACAGCTCCATGCACCAGGGGCTTCCTCCTGCCGGAGGAGGGAGGACATTCTTGGCCCACATGCACACTACACATTTAAACCGGCACTGGCACTGAATTGGGCCCCAGATTATGGGTGCCCAGCAGCGTCTCTCTCAGCACCTCCCAGAATTCTTTGGGGGAAGCCATTAAAGGTTTGAAGTGGTATCAGAGTGGTTTAAATGTACATATATATACAGTGTGGCCTTTGGCGAAGCTTGAAAAACAGAAGGAAGAGACTAAAGCCCGATTTAATACTCCTCAGCAATACGAGCAGTTCTTGAGGTGCTTTAAGCTAAAGTTGGAGAACGTTTGAAGAGAGAGATTATCTTAATTTACAGAACAATTGGCATAAGCGTACCTTCCACTCAGGAGATTAAGCAACCCCAACTACTTACCGTATTTTTCGCCCCATAGGACGCACCGGCCCATAGGACGCACCAAGTTTTTTTGGGGGGGGAAATAAAGAAAAAAACATTTATTCCCCCCCCCCAGGCGCTTGTGGGGCCAGCAGCGGGGAGAAGCGCTCTTCTCCCCGCCGCCCACCTTCAGACCAGGTCTGAGGACAGCAGGAAGACGCGCTGCGCCTCCCAGCTGTCCCCGGAGCTTGCGGGGCAGGCAGCGGGGAGAAGCGCTCTTCTCCCCGCCGCCCGCCTTCAGACCAGGTCCGGGGACAGCGGGAAGACGCGCTGCGCCTCCCAGCTGTCCCCGGAGCTTGCGGAGCTGGAAGCAGGGAGAAGCCCGCCTTCAGATGAGGTCCGGGGACAGTGGGAAGACGCGCTGCGCCTCCCAGCTGTCCCCGGAGTTTGCGGGGCAGGCAGCGGGGAGAAGCGCTCTTCTCCCTGCCGCCCACCTTCAGACCAGGTCTGAGGACAGCAGGAAGACGCGCTGCGCCTCCCAGCTGTCCCCGGAGCTTGCGGGGCAGGCAGCGGGGAGAAGCGCTCTATTCCCCGCCGCCCGCCTTCAGATCAGGTCCGGGGACAGCGGGAAGACGCGCTGCGCCTCCCCGCTGTCCCCTGACCTTGTGGGGCTGGCGCTGGGGTTCTCCTGAAGCCTGGAGAGCGAGAGGGGTCGGTGCGCACCGACCCTCTCACTCTCCAGGCTTCAGCGAAAGCCTGCATTCGCCCCATAGGACGCACACACATTTCCCCTTCATTTTTGGAGGGGAAAAAGTGCGTCCTATAGGGCGAAAAATACGGTACTCTGTCTTATTACAGGCCTTCTGCTAATTTGCTCATGTTATGAACATGAGGCCACCTGTTGAAACTCACTTCTGTCTAGCAGTGACATAATATATATAACAGATTGTTTTAAGTTCTCAGCTTTTCTAAAGAGGAAATCTGGAGGGGGTGGGGGAAGTACAGGTTGGCAAAGATAATATGTGGGCACCACAAAAAAAAAAAAAAGATTCCAAGCAGTGCCATGCCCACTATAAACTGGCCATATGGAAGAGCCTTCTACTTTTGAGTCAGGACATACAGGATTACAGTTGCTTTCTCACCTACATTCTTTTCTCTCCTTATGAAGGTTCGTGGCTACCCAACACTGATGCTTTTCCGTGGTGGGGAAAAAGTCACTGAGCACACTGGAGCCAGAGATCTTGAAACACTGCACAACTTTGTCCTGGGGCAAGCAAAGGATGAACTGTAGAAAACATCATCTGTTTGGATACTGCTCCTCAAGCTGTGTCTGTCCAGTAAACAAGGGAGTTGAATCAAGGTGTGCTGGTACCGGATTTCCAATAGTGGTCATTTGGGAAACTGAATGTACTAAAATGTGGTATCCCTGTGTGCGTTTGTTTCCTCTGAAGCCCTACTGTGCTGAGCTTAAGGGAAGCTTACAACAAGCAATCATAGTTCAAATTGGAAACAGTTTTCATTATTAGTTGTGTTAATGAACTTCCATTTTGTCCTGGTAGTCAGTTGCCTATTTGTATCTAAAACCAGTAAGGAAAGGTTAAAATTAAGGGGGCCTGGTAGATGATGGCAGTTTACATCAGTTACGAACTTACTACATGCCTGGACCTTTGCAAAACTGCACATTGTAAACCATATTTGAGGCAAATCAGTGCTTTTTAAATGTCTCATCAATAGAAACGTCAAAGGAAAACAAACACACACACACTTTGGAAAGACGCCCCTGACCACTGCTGTCATTTTGTGCTCTCTAATCATGAGGGATGTACAACAAAAAGCAATGGCACTATGTGTGCCTGCATTTATTATTGAACCATGCCATTTGTCAGGTAGTTTTTGACAGCTCAAAGACACAATAGTTCTGCTCAGCCATTTGCAAAGAGATTTGGCTCCTTTTGTGCAGACCCAGATCATGACTGGCCATCCCTTTTTTTAAAAAAAATAAATTTTTAAAATTCTTTTAAAACCTAGAGATGGGTTATTTTTGTTACTTCAGGGGCTGTAGTTTATTAATCATGGTTAAAGAGCCTCTTTCCAGGTAATATAGACAGAGGAACAAAACCTACCTATAAGTTTTTCCAGGTGGTCTTTCATCCTGAGTAGCTTCTCTCCAGCTAGTCCCCCTCCTTTCCAGTTTGGTATTCAATATGACAGACTTAAAGCCAAAGAATTTCTAGTGCAGGTACTGATAGACACTTAAACTACAGCAGCAAACTAGATGCTGGGGGAAAAAAATCTGGTTTATATATAAACATTTATTGCCATTTTATTGGGGGAGTTTTCAGGTATGTACATAGGCTAGATGTTTTCTCTGTAGAAAGATGCTGTTGCCATTTGTTTGTTGCAGATGGAGCAATGCAACTTTCATTAGCCATATCTACATTTCTAATTTTTGTACTGTACTTTTGCCCTTCCTATTGAAGGCCAGAAAATGTGTCCAGCACAAATTGGGGGTGGGGGAGGAGGTGTAGAGTCAGGGGGTACATAACAGATAGGAAGAATGGAAATGGCTAATTGAGATATGGCAGATGTATCAGATCAACACACATGTTTCTGCCTTAAAGGGAGCCTTTATTCAACATGGTGACTTTTAAAAACCTAATGAAGCACAATCTCATGAACAGGCTGAACTGCAAGTCATGACTCCTGTAAAAATCAAGTGGTACAATTGTTTACACACACAGTTTCTGAATAAATTTTTTTTTTTACAAAAAAAGAAAATCTTGGTCTTGCTAATAGTACATCAAAATTACTATATCTGACAGTTGCAATAAATTATCATTTTCATTTATTTACAAGAGCAAAGTAGTCAAAGGGAAGTGCACTTTTCCTTGCCTTGGGGAAACCTTTCTCTTACATTAGAATGTAAGTATTGTATATACATTTTAAATGCATGTTTTTCAGAAGTGAGAGGTGCAAGTTTATTCCTGACCAACCAGATCAGAATCTGAAGAGTGCTTTTAATTGGGTCAGTGAGACTGAGTAACTTGCCACCTGCCAGTTCTCCTGCATGGTCTGCCCTACAACCTCTACCCCCCCCCTCCCCACACACTTCTTTTTCCTCTTTAGTCAGGCTTTCAAAAAGGAGGGGAAGGATCAAAACTAGCAAGAGGGAGAACTGTGGAATGTAAGCATAGAAATTGCCTTTAGAACAAATGTACAAGATTCTTCCTGTTAGCCTGATGGGACAATTTAACCTCTAGAACACTTCCTTTTGTGATAGCTATAGGGGCACATTGCCAGTTATGTCCCTGTTGAAGGGCAAGGAACAAAACTTGCTTTTAACACAGTGTGTGTTGCAGAAACCTAAGTGCTGCAGTTCATACAAGGCACTTACCTTGCCAATCAACGTTCTCACCTACAGTTTGCAGGCCTTTAAAGTTAAGCAAGGAGAGCTTGGTTTGGCTACATGTAAGAATGGAGATTTTTGCCATGAATAGTGCATTTCATTTCTTAGCTACAGCCTCTGTTTTTTCCTTGTGGGCATCGCCACCAGGATTTGGCAGGTGCCTGCTTAGAGAAACAGAATTGAAGACTGAAATAGCGCGCAGGTTTTTGTCTGTACCTTTGCTGCTTCAGCCATGGTCCATACTTTATAATCCTCTTTGGTGTACTTAGAAATTAGAAGAACCAAAGGCTACCATTGTGCAAATACTTTAAAAGGGCAAGTAGCATTGGAGTCCCCTGCTTCTGCTTAAAAACAAACAACAACCAAAAAATCCTCCTTAAGGCACAAATACAGTCTTAGGAGCTTCAGGTTTTTCCCTTTGAGGCACTGGATGGAAGTTATTTAGAATGGCGCACCAGATCTTTCTGAAGAGAACTTTTTGTCAGTGACATCCACAAGCTCTTACCACCATGTTCCTGTATTTTTTCAAAATGACGTTGGAATTGTCATCGAAGTAGAGAACTGATATTGCGTTCAGCTTCGTAGGGGCACAACATGGCTTAGGAACGTTCTCTGGATTCATAAGGTGAACCTGTTTTAAGTAAATTGACAAACATATTTGTAAATTCAGCCCAACTTGTTAATCTATCACATTTCTGAGCCTGACTCCAAGCAGCTTGGGGCAGTGTCTTAGCTCTTTTTTATCTCCATGGCCAACTCTGTGCCCTAAAGATTAGACTTCTCAATGTATTGTTCAATTACCGTATTTTTCGCTCTATAGGACGCACTTTTCCCCCTCCAAAAATTAAGGGGAAATGTGTGTGCGTCCTATGGAGTGAATGCAGGCTCCTTGGCTTCAGCGATAGCAATGTGAAGCCTCTGAAGCCTCCCTCCGCGCTCCAGAGGCTTCGCATTGCTTTCGCTGAAACCTGGAGAGCGAGAGGGGTTGGTGCGCACTGACCCCTCTCGCTCTCCAGGCTTCAGGGATAGCCTCCTGAAGCCTTTGGAGCGCAGCACGAGTTCCCTTCGCTCCGGAGGCTTCAGGTTCCTTTTGCTGAAGCTGGGAGAGCAAGACTCTCCTGGCTTCAGCAGAGAGGGAGTGCTGCGCAGTGCCCCCTCAGCCAAGCGGGAGGAAAAATGGAAGGGGCTCCGTTTCTCCTGCCGCTTCGCTGAAGGGGCGCTGAGCACAGAGGGGGAGAAATTTTTTTCCTTGTCCCCCCCCCTCTAAAACAAGGTGCGTCCTATAGAGTGAAAAATACGGTAATCCTCCTTATCCCTTTGTCTCATGGTAGATTTCCACTGATGCCAATGGCAACTTCCCTGCAACCTAGGGAAGGTTAAGCAGTTTTTCTTGGCACTGTGGTAGGGCAAGGAAATATTAAATCCCCCCACGTGCAACGTGATCCTAGTTGCCTCCTACCTGTTAGAGATAAATATTTATTGGGACTTGGAAGTGGTATTTTTAAGCATCAAAGGTGTACTGTGCCCATAAGCTGCATGAAGGCAGTATTTTGAAACGTGAAATTACAGTGGTGCCCCGCAAGACGAATGCCTCGCAAGACGGAAAACCCGCTAGACGAAAGGGTTTTCCGTTTTTGAGCTGCTTCGCAAGACGATTTTCCATATGGGCTTGCTTCGCAAGACGAAAACGTCTTGCAAGTCTTGCGATTTTTTTCCGCCCCCCCCCCTTTTTCTAAGCCGCTAAGCCGCTAATAGCCTTTAAGCCGCTAAGCCTTTAATAGCCGCTAAACCGCTAATAGCGCTAAGCCGCTAATAGGGTTGCTTCGCGAGCCGAAAAAACCGCTAGACGAAGAGACTTGCGGAACTGATTATTTTTGTCTTGCGAGGCACCACTGTACATTGTATGTCAAAGGTCTCTTAAAAAACTCTGCCTCCTCTCACCAGCATGAGAATCCCAGATCAAATTCCAACTCAGTTAGCCAAGTGTATTAGACTAAAGCAGCTGCTCTCTATCCAAAGGTTGGATAGAAAAGGTAATGGGGCTAATTTCTAATCCTGGAGTTGCTTTCCTCTCCCATCCTGCAAGTGCAATTCCTTGGTCATCCTCACTCACCCAAGGCCCAACCAAAAAATGCTGGATGAATTGCCCACCCCCACAACCCAGTCTTACATTGTGCCACTGATATGAAAGAGACAAATTGGAGCTTCTCTACTCCTCAAAACCACCATGTTAGTGGGAGGCGGGGAGGAAACCAGGCAGGGCAAACTGTTTTACAGCATCTGTGAGCTAAGCCAAGGCCTCTACTTACCAAAGTCTGCACAATGGCATGATTGGTGGCATTCATATGAGCATTGAGTGGGAAAGAACATTCTCCATCGCAGTAGTTTGCAGGATAGCCCTTGGGTGCAATTATCCAGTCCTTTATAAGAATAATATTACATCTATGAAGCATAACTATTGCAAAAGCATACAGGTTGGTCCAGTTCATCGCTTATCAGAACCCTCCCTGTGGCAGACCAACACGGCTACCTATCTGTTACAGAATACTTGTTAGAAGAGTCGTACCACTTCCTTATACACAAGCTTCTTATGTCCTGGCTTCAGTATTCAAGTATTGGCTGTAGGTACAGAGTATTATAAATATCTATGGAGCATGTATCAATGCCCTGTTTAATTCTCTCTGCACCCTCCTACACATATGTTCATATCTGCCAGCTCCTTTCCCATGTGTAGAGAGCTGTGCATGCCAAAAGCAGACATAAACCAGAACATACTCTTAAAATGTTTACCTGACATTATATTTTATAATAAAAGTCTACGGTTACAGTAGCTAGTTAATACACACTAAACCATGGTTGTGGTGGGTTATACACTTGGGTTTAGCTCATGATGCAATACATTATGCTTCAACCCCCTTTTTAAAGGTGTGTCAGGGTGTGGGCAATCTGGGCTTGCACAAAATTGTGTGTTAATCTACTGAAGCTTCCAAGTGTTTTAAAGAGTTGGAACCATTTAACATGTGAAACCAGTGACAGTCAACCACTGGTTGATACTAGCATGTAAAACCCCCCGCATTTTTAGCAAGAACCATGCAGCACTTATAAGCTATGTTCAAAAAAGCCTTATGACTGGACTAGCTAACACGTTGTGTTAAACATTGTACCATAATTATATACATTAGAACAGTGTTTCCCAACCGGTGTTCCACGGCACACTAGTGTGCCGCGAGGCGTTGCCTGGTGTGCCGTGGGAGGGAGGCGGGCGAGTCGGGCGGCGAGAGGCGGGGCGGCGGCGGCGAGGATCTGCGTTGAGCCGGGGGCGGCTCCGCGGTGGTGGTGCCGAGGTTTCTCTCTCCATTCTCCCCTCACACACACACACAGGAAATAACACAGGATCAGCTGACAGGACCCGGCCAATGGGGCGGCGGCAGGGCAGCGCGCGCAAAAGGGAGGAGCGCGAGACAGCGGACGAGGAGGAGGCCGGCATGTCCGGGCAGCAGCAGCAACAACAGCAGCAGCAACTCCTGGCGACGGCTCCTCAAGCCCCGGGCAACCCTACTCCCTCACCGGCCTCGGCCGCCCTCCTGCTCCACCCGCCGCCGCCCCGCCGGCCACCTCGGCCCCGCCGCCGCCCCCTCCTCCGCCCGCTATCGCCGCCACCACCACAACAGCCGCCGCTGCCTCAGCTGGGCCCATGCCTGCCGGGAGCGGCGGCGGCAGCAGCAGCAGCAGCGCCCCGGCGCCCTTCCCTCCCGGCGTGACGCTGCGCGCTGACGTCACGGGGCTGTAATGGTGGTGTGCCTCAAGATTTTTTTCATCAAACAAGTGTGCCTTTGCCCAAAAAAGGTTGGGAAACACTGCATTAGAAGACACATGGGTTCAATAGAGCAAAGAGGATAGAAGAAAGAGATCTCATTCTTCATGACTGCTATAGTGATTTTGGCTGCTAAAGTTAAAGGAACCAGCAACACAAGCCACATAAATAGAAACTTTTTTTAAAAAAAGGTAATTTAAAATGGTGGAAGCCATCTTTAGTGACAATTGTGTGAAGCTTAAAAACACTGATGGTGAGCCTATGGAATTGTGCTCTACATACTAAAATGTGATTATCTACTTAAAGCTGAATAACATCTGAAAGAAAAGGTAACTCAGTGGAAGTAGACCTTCCACCCCACTTTCTTCCAAGATATGCTAACACAGAACTCAGTCTGGTGGGGGGGGAAATCTACTTTTGTGTTCTGAGCATTGTTTTCAGAGCATGTTTATGGACATAGAAACACCACATACCTGCCATCCCAAGTCTTGGAAGCTAACATAAAGTTCATGCTTTCTGCAAGCTGTTTTTAGGTCACTGCTGTTGTAATCTATGAGGAAGTATAAAGGGGAGGGGGATATATTTGAAACAACAAATCAAAAAAACATATCACCATAACATGGCAGAGACATTTTGTGGCTTTAAAGCCTAATGCAGTTCCAAAGCAAAATTCTCTCTCACTTTTCAAACTGTTATTTGAAATTAAACGAACACGCACAAGGTTTTTGCCAGCACCAACCTGGCCACAGAGGTTTACATCATATAGGGTACAGTGCTTCAGTTATCACAACCTAAGTCGTGATGGTGCCATCATCCTCATTACTACTAGTCGGATGCTTACAAAATTTTGTTGCAGCCTCTTGACACCTGTAATCTGCAAGGCTGCAGATATAGAGGCCCTTTGTTAACTGACTCAGTGCAACCAGACCGCAGAGAAGAAGACATGGGCAGCTTTCTAGATACCATCTTCCTATTGAAGTTGTTTGCAATTCCTCAGGGTCTCGAAGGAAACTTCTTTTTTAAAAAAAATCCAGTATTTACTTAAAGGGAAAAGTACAATGCTAAAAGCACATCAAGCGATCATAGAATCCAGCTGGGGCACAGTGTTTTGGCATCCCTCTGCCTCGAAATAAACCTAACCTAGAAACCACAAGAGATTGGGAGTTGTTTTAAAAAGAGAATAGTGTAAGAGCTTGGGGAGTGTTTCTTTTTTTAAAAAAAATTAAATCTTAAGAATTTTAATTTCAGATCTTCAGATTGACTCTGCTTGAATCACAAATTTAATCAACTTGGCAAAAGATGGTTAGCTAGTATAAGAATGCACTCCCCATCACTAGAAGTTTTTAGACAAGCCGTTGGCTTTCAAATCAAGGCCACTTGTGCTTGACCAAAAGTGGAAAGCATGGTTAAATGCCTGCTTCTTGTACTTCTAGTCCAAGCTAGCAGCTGGAAAACAATCAGGAGAATCGTGTGGTGCAGTTTCAGGCCACATTTTACAGTTTTGGCCAACCTGGAGCCTTCCAGATGTTTTGGATAACAACTTCCACCATCCACACCCAACACTCGTCCACATTAAAAACAACAACAAGGAAAACAACTTGTATATGTATAAAAAAGCAGCAATTAGGCAGCAAGTTGTAGCAGAAAGAAAAGGGTGGAAATGAGCAAAAATTCGGTTGGTAACTATCAACCTAGAAAACAGATTTTTTTACATTTTGCACTGTTAACAAAGCACTGCAGACCCCTGTACTCAGCACTGGAATTCATTTGTGCAAAAGACAGGATTAAGTACTGTATTGGTACCTAATAATTCCGATGTGGTTGGTTCTGAACTAGTTTTTAACTTTAGTTTCAATGTCAGTTAATGGGAAAGTTTAAATTTGCATAAAAACTAAATATTTGAAGTTTACACAAATATAAATAGGTGCCATTCCTCCCAAGATGTGGGGAGCACCTTGGAGCGAACGTCCCTCGAAACTTAACCACAAGAAAGGTTTGTTCTAGTGTGAAATTTGGCATTTTCGTGGGCTGGACTTAAAATTTTTGAAAGCTTCTCTCCACTGAAAGTAGGTAAGCTATATTGGAGCTGATCCTTCCAAAACACATGAACTGCTCCTAATGAGCCCATTCACCAGATTCCACAATGTAATTAATATCCAGGATACATCAACATTGTTTTGAAAGAGATCTCTACGACTCTCCTTTTCTCAGGGTTTGCTTTAGCAGGCGATTGTTTTGAAGGATACAGCTGTTGTAAACTGATTAACCCACTTAACATAAAAGGAGTCAGCTTAGGAGAGATAATGCTTCAGTATACTCTCATATGCTGTACTTTGACAGTATACACAAAGAAGCAAGATGCACGCAACTTTAGACGCCTGTTCCTGCTGTGCCTTCTTTCCCAAGTTCTCTGGCCAATGGTAGAGAAAAACTTACGTCACTTTCAAATTCCTCTGATGAAAACCACAGAGGGCCGCTGAAGGTTTTGGAATGGGCACAAGGCCTTAATATCCTGAGATGTGTGATCGTACCATGGCATTATCAGTTCACCAGCAGTTTGCAGTTAACTCAAAAGGAATCTGTGCTGCCTCAGACATCTCCAACACAAGATGTCAGTCAAGTTACAGTTCTGTCATAAAACCCTGCACTGATATACACATTGACTGAACATCTTTTACACCAATGCTTTGAGAAAGGAGTAGGCATCCATACTGAGAGCACTATAGTTACTGAATAAGCAAACTGACCTGCGCTGTCAGATAACCGAAACAAAATAAAAAAATTCATTCCAGTAGCATCTTAGAGACCGACTAAGTTTGTTATTGGTATGAGCTTTCATGTGCATGCACACTTCTTCAGATACCACTTCTTCTTTCTCAAAGCATTGGTGTAAAATATGTTCAGTCAACGTGTATATCAGTCCAGGGTTTTATGACAGAACTGTAACTTCACTTCATACCACTTCATACCAATAACAAACTTAGTTGGTCTCTAAGGTGCTACTGGAAGGAATTATTTTATTTTGTTTCGACTACGGCAGACCAACACGGCTACGTACCTGTTGTCAGATAACCGGTTGCAAAGGTATACCAAACAGCCGTTTGTGTAGCATATGCAGTTGAATCAAGGCCAATGCTTAAATAAGCCATTGCAGCAAAGGAAACTTAGCTGTCTTAAAAGCATAACAATTCACTGTTGTGTGTGTAGGAGTGGCACAGGGCTTTTTCGGTGTTGTTGCCTTAGACAAATTAAAATTCTGTGCCCGTTCTAAATGATCCACTGAGTAGTGTTAACAATAGCACAATAAATAACTGAGTAGGATGTTTTTACTGCCTGCCACTTCTTTATTTCCTCCCCGTTACAAATGAGTTGGAGCTCAACTGCTGTGACCTCAGCTGAAGGAAGCTCCTCTGACAGTGGGATAGGTTTAAAGCAAGGCACTCCTAAGCCGTCCCTGGGTATCTCCTCTGAACAGTTCAAACAGCAGCTCATTCTCTCTTCCCAAGAAAATTGCATAAGTGAAGCAGGTTTGCACCCTGGACAGATGCTTAGTTTGCCACTTTGGGCCTGGACTTGTATACATGGCTTATTACTTACTTGTCAAGTGGAATAGCATTAAACAGTCATTAAGGTAAAGGGGCCCCTGACCATTAGGTCCAGTCGTGACCGACTCTGGGGTTGCGGTGCTCATCTCGCTTTATTGGCCGAGGGAGCCAGCGTACAGCTTCTGGGTCATGTGGCCAGCATGACTAAGCCGCTTCTGGCGAACCAGAGCAGCGCACGGAAACGCCGTTTACCTTCCTGCCGGAGCGGTACCTCTTTATCTACTTGCACTTTGATGTGCTTTCGAACTGCTAGGTTGGCAGAAGCAGGGACCGAGCAACGGGCGCTCACCCCGTCACGGGGATTCGAACCGCCGACCTTCTGATCAGCAAGCCCTAGGCTCTGTGGTTTAACCCACAGCGCCACCCGCGTCTCTCAAACAATCATTACTAGGCAGGTAATTAAAATGTGTTTTTAAGGCATTTGTTTAGAAGGACAGTAAGTTCTGGACTTTAAGGACAAAAGAAAATGAGCTGACTGAAAGACATATTCAGCAATGCTTGGTTTGTTTTTTGCAGATCAGAGCAGATACTAAAATTATAAAAATAAAAGCAATTAAGCAAACCATTTTTCAGTTTTTCACACGTTTCAGTTTTTTATCACAAGGCTGCAGGATAAGTTTGGTCAGCTACCTCACCCTGCCTAATGGTAGGGCTCCTCTATCAACTTTGCCTTGGATAAACCATCATGATTTTGAGTGATGTCCTACTCTACACAAACTTGCAGAACAATGAGTTCCTGCTATCCAGGGAACAGATCCTCCCTTGGAGGGTCATCTAAACTTTTGTGACCATGAGAAAGAAAGAAAAAGAAGAAGAAATGAAACACTCGAACGATGAGAGATGAATTCGAAGCAGCTTCTGAATGTAAAGTGCTTGGGAAACGATAGCTGAAAAATAGTATTTTTTCCCCTTTTCATTTTCACATAATCCAGGAGGCAATGAAAAGAGGTTACCTGTGATACTGGATACCCTGGAAACATCTTGAGGCTGGGTAGAGCGGTTTCGACTCTGTTCCCTCCGCCTGTTGGAGGCTGACCTAGCCGTCCGAATGTGAACCTCACTCACTTTGAAAAAAGCCACCATGAAAGGCTGTTTGTCATAAGGGCCATCCCGACCTATTAGTCCTGCTTCTCTAGGGTTTATACCGAGACCTATAAATTTAAAAAAAAAAACTGGTGTGTCATATAAAGAGCACAGTGTTTCTGAATAGCTCTTTTGAGCAACCCAGCTGCTTTCCTACAACTAATGTTCTTCTGACCCCCCTCTTTAGTTTCCCCCCCTCTCCTCCTCCTCTATAGCTGATATCATAGGATACTCTAATTTTCAGTGAAACTTCACAAGCTTCTTTAAGGCTCCAAAGGCCACAAGTGCTGTAAGAGGTACTTCACTCTGCTAATTTGCTAATTTAGGAGGAAATGAGTGGACAATATTAAGGAACAGGTCAGGGTTATGTGTACTCCGTATTAAAAATAATGACAACTCTGGGACCTGGGCAAAAATGCCAAATTAATCAAATTCAACAAAAATTATCTCACAGCTCTTCTTATCTCATAGCGTTTATTCTGGAGGGTTTATTATTTTGAACCATCTGTTCTAATTGCTTTAGCAATGGGGATGAGCAATGATTCTTCTCCACTCTCCAATTACCAGGCTTCAGAAAGCAGCTGTGAGCCAGACTAGATGCTGAGTGTTAGGTTGTGGGTGAACATATCAGACGACACAGCGATTCTTCAAACAGCTCTTGTTTATTCACAGGCCAGAACAGAACTGAGCTGAAGGGTTCAGTCAGCCTGCTTATATAGAGCTCCAGTACAACGTTACTGTAACAACTTTCTAAAACTATCCAATCACTGAACGTCACTTTCGATCCTTCATTTGCATATCTATCTACAGTATCCCCCTGCTGGCCCAGGGTGAGAACTTCAGTACATAACACTGAGTATAAGGCAGCTTTGCATAGGAGCCAAATCCTAAGGGCTGAGGTCCCTTTGCATGCCCCAAGTAAAACATTTGAGCCCCCCTCCCCCCCAGTTAATGGGCAATGCCATTCAAATGGTGTGTGTGCTGTGTCTTGTGATTGATTATGTGGGGCAAGGGTTATGTATTCAGTGGTCTGTGTTTGCCTGAGCTTGAGTCTGAACTAAGGATTCTGAGCTTCTGTGTTCTGTTTCAATACATGGTGTTCAATCACAGAACATTTCAGGATTAGGGCCTCTGCCATTGGCCCTTGAACTCTGAGTCTTGATTCGCAGCTTGGAAGTTTAGACAGCCAATCACGGTGGGAGTGGTAGTGTGGCCCAGGCTTTCAGGAATGTATATAAGCAGTTGCTTTGCCCCTGTTTCCCAGTTATGTAGTTCAATAAAGGTTCTTGCTGTTATCGCTGTGTCTTGCCTCATGGCAACCCACCTACACTTCACAGGGCTTACCCACCCCCCACTTCCAATATTTGATTCAAGTTGGTACCCTTGCAGCTTCATATGCTCTATTGAATTCCACCAGAAGGCGAAATATATCATGTCAATCTCTGGGGCTCCAATGGCTCCAAATTATCTGTGGCATGTTGCAAAAGGGAAGCATGAGAGGAGAACTCCCAAAAAACTTAGCACAAGTTCCTCTTGGTAGCTGCATCAGGAAAAGAGGTTGAAACACTGAGGAAATGTTATGCACTGTGGCATTTCATCAGCAGACGAGTAAACAGAAGGCCTCTTGGTCCAGTTGAAAGATACACAAAAATTGAGTTGAAATTGAGGAGCTCACATCACCTTCCCAGAAGACACTTCCACAGCCCCACAGAGAGACCTGTGGGTATTATTTATATTTAAGAAAGACCTTGCTGTAAGTACCTTCCATAACCCCCAACCCCCCGCATCCAGAAGTCAGGCATTCCCAAAATTTCACAGACATAGGGCATGCAGCCTAGAGAGAGCAGCTTTCCAATATGTGCAGTTGGATCCACAGCCCGGCCATCACATCACAGCTGTGCGCTTGGCTACATTAGCCAGATCATCACATCACAGCTGAACACTATAAACAGAGCTTCCAATTAATGAGTAGGACATTGGCCAGATGTTTAAAGTATGTTGGCCTGTTACCTACCGTCCCTGGTCACCACGCTCATCTGGAGTCCCAAGTTATGCTGAGGGTTTATCACCCACATGTTGCTGGTGGCAGTGATGTCAAACTCCAGCCAGCCTTCTTCGGAGGCCCATACTGCTCTGGTGTCCAGCAAAAACAGATCCGAATCTCTGAAGAAGAAGAAAGGGGAGGGGAGGAGGGAGGAGCAGAGAGAGCATTTTACTATTGTTCTGGTCCAAATTTCCCATTTGCTTTCACAGCTTCTTCGCTAGCAGGAGGCAATGTTAGAAACGCTTCTCAGCTGTCACTATAAATTTAAACACAGCCTTAAATCCTGATTTTACATGCATTCAACTGTTCCCTGCACAATCATCATCATCATCATCATCATCATCATCATCATATTATTATTACTATGCCACCCCTCAAACGAAAGAAGTATCCAGTCTCTTCTTAATTCGTTTCCTCATTCTCTGACTTCCTCTACACCAGGGGTCTGCAACCCGCGGCTCCGGAGCCGCATGTGGCTCTTTTACACCTTTGCCGCGGCTCCGGGGTGGATACTAGCGAGGGGAGGAGGCGCATTGTACGCCCCGACACTCTCCACTGTGGCGGGTGCTGTACTGGCTGTGACGTCGCATGGGGGCAGTACGTGTGTTAGTCCCGTCCCGACATCACCTTCCCGCCTGCTGTCAGATCGCGGCTCCGGAGATATATTTGTTTTAAATGTCGCAATGGTTTTGCGGCTCCCAGGTTTTTTTTTCTTCAGAAACGGGTCCAAGTGGCTCTTTTTGTCTTAAAGGTTGCAGACCCCTGTTCTACACCAAGCCATGGGCCTAGTTGGGCCTGCCAGCCCTCTTAAGTTGTCCCACAAGGCTGTTTGGGGAAACCATACACACCTGGCCAATCACCTGATGTAATCAGATGCCAGGCACGGGACAGTTAAAAGGATCTCTTATCCCCAAACTAAGCACCACAGACCTGTGCTTTCCTGCTCTCCCCTACCAATACACCACCGTACAAAACTCAGTGGGAACCACTGAGAGAGAACTGAACCATTTGCAGAACTGAACAACACTTGCATATTCCAGCCTGTTGCTTGCTCTTCAGGAGTTTGAAATGTGTGTTTGCAGAGGGAAACATATTTGGAACTGAGGAGGTTATGATTTATTTTTTTTAACAACGCATAGAAATGGCACATGGAAAAAGTGTTACGCTCACACACACAAGCAAATTCTCCTCGCCAGATCAAGGAGCAACCACACTTTTGTTACGTATGCGTGTTTTATTTTAGAAATGTGAAGCTAAGCCCTACAATGAAGACAATGACCCTAGTTTAAGAGCCACTCTGCAAAATGACGAAATGTTTATACAAAGGGGCGATAAGGGAGTCTCTGAAATGGAGGGAACATTTTTTCCTCATGGGAAGATAGAACTTGATAAAAACTTTTTTTTTTTTTACCCAAAGTCATCGTTTCTACGTCCATTCACACAAGCGTACAGCTTATCGGGAGCAATGTGTCAATGGCCTGACACATCAAGCTGCTGTTTGAGTCTGTTAGCCCAAATCCAGTGGACTTACATGATGGCATTGGGAAATCCTATACGTACAGGAATGCCACAACCTGTCCCACTAATATTTACGGTTTTCAAACATTAATTCGCACAAAATGTGTTATTCCCTGTTCACTGGCTTGCCACTAAAAGCCAGGTGGATTAAATTAACATTTAAATCACCAATAGAGATGACTCATAGAAATCTTCACACAGCAAAGTCCGTTCTGCACTTTGAACCACCTTTCAGCAGCTCTGCATATTTAGACCTTCAGTTCGAAACTCCACCACTTTAGCCACAAGAGCAGCTGCTATGTATTTACAAAGTGACTGAAAGCTCTGCCTTTTCAAGTCAGGTGCAGATGCACAGTTTCCAAACTGATTTCCAAAAAAGCAAACAGGTCCCTGAGGGACTGGCGGTAAACTTTCTTAAGTACACTGACTCCTTCCCAATTCAGGTGTAAATACACACATTCTGCAAGTAGGTCCCCAAGCAGAAACACAACCCCCACCCCCGAGACCCACACCTGTTTGTTTGCAGTAGAATACAAACTAGAGGAGAAACCGGACCACACATACTCTAAAAACTATGCAGCTCTTTTCTGAAACAGCTGGCAGCATGCTGTGTTTTTCATGCCCGATTTCCACTCCTCATGACGACCTGGCCTAACCTTTCTTCATCACCTGCAATACAGAAGAATTGCCCTCTTGCTAAGAAAGATCCATCCATTCATAGAACCTTGTCTTGGTTTGTTATGTACTGAAATTCTCACCCTGGGCCAGCAGGGGAATACTGTAGATAGTTTTCACTCAGGTCCACATATGCAAATAAGGGATTGAAACTGACGTTCAGTGATTGGATAGTTACAGAAAATGGTTACTGTTGCGTTCTAGTGGAGCTCTATATAAGCAGGCTGGCTGAACCCTTCAGTTCAGTTCTGTTCTGGCCTGTGAAGAAACAAGAGCTGTTTGAAAAATCACTGTGTCGTCTGATATGTTCACCCACAACTTAACATGGTTCCTCCTCAAAAAAATAATAATCCTAGGAACTGTCATTTTACACCTCAAAGAGCTTCAATCTCCAGCACCCTTAAACTATAGTTCCCAGGATTCTTTGGGGGGAAGCCATCTTATTTAAACACATTGTGTTGAGGTGACAAACCGTAGAGTTGGAAGGGACCCCAAGGGTCATCGAGACCAACCCCTGCAACGCAGGAGTCTTTGGCCCAACACGGGACTCAAATCCACAACCATGAGATTTAAGAGTCTTAAATCTGAGCTATCTCCATTCACAAAGAAACACAATTCAGATTTCGCTCACCAGGAGCTGTTCGCAGCATACACATGTTCACGTCCCCTCCCCACGCAATCTTAGCCTAACCTACTTTACAGGGCTGTTGTAGCGATAAGAGTGTGCCACTAGCCTTCCCCGATTTATTATATTGGAGTAGAAGAGACATCTCATTAACGACTGGAGAAACGCCAAAGAACATTGGGAGGTTTCTGACACAGTATTAATTCAGCAAGGAGCCAGGAGTGAAACCAAAAGTAGACTGACCAGCTAGCTGAATCAAATTATATTGCTATGGGGGGCGGGGGGTAAACCTCTAACATTTTACTCTTCGATACTTGTACCTCCAGTTTACTTGGTAACACACACACACACACACACACACCCCTGCCACTGCCCGCCTGGGAAAAGCTAATGTTTGAATAGCAGCTGGTTGAGGAACAACATTGGGCAGACGCCACAATTTGATTTTATCTGGACTGTTTGTCGATATGGCAGCTACCTGCAGTGGAAGTCTCCTGGAATGATTCGGCAGAAACCCCGTGTAGTGAAGATAGGATGTGAATTTACAGAGGGGAATCCTGGACTACAGGATTTGGACTATAAAGAAGAAGAGTAAAGACATAAAATCCACACAGAAACATTTTATTTGGACTTAAACTCACTTGCAGAATGAATGCAGAGGCTGTTGAAAATAATGAAGGATTAACATCAGAATGTATTAAGGGAATTATTGTAATACTTTGAAATGCAGTAGAACTATGAGATGATTAGGATTCCCTACAATCTTGAAGCATGGGAAGTCAGCTAAAAAATAATAATAATTTATAATTAGGCATAATATTGGGATTGTTTGATTATTGGATAATTTGGAATACAGTGGTGCCTCGCAAGACGAAATTAATTCGTTCCGCAAGTTTTTTCTTCTTGCGAGTTTTTCGTCTTGCGATGCATGGTTTCCCATAGGAATGCATTGAAAATCAATTAATGCGTTCCTAGGGAAACCGACTTCAGACCAGGTCCGGGGACAGTCTGTCCCCCGACCTCTTCTGAAGGCTGGGGGGGGGGGAACAAGGGCTTTTCTTCCCACCCCCAGCATTTTAAAAAAACCCGGGACAGCGGAGGACTTCTCCGCTGTCCGGGGTGATTTAAAAGCCCCTGGGAAGGAAGGCAGGGGGGACAAAGACTTTTGCCCCCCGCCAGCCTTCAGAAGAGGTCCTGGACCTCTTCTGAAGGCTGGCGGGGGGCGAAAGTCTTTGTCCCCCCTGCCTGCCTTTAAAAGCCCTCCCGGGAGAGCGGAGAAACGCGCTGCGTTTCTCCGCTCTCCCGGGAAGGCAGGCAGGGGGGACAAAGACATTTGCCCCCCGCCCTCCTTCAGAAGAGGTCCAGGACCTCTTCTGAAGGCTGGCGGGGGCGAAAGTCTTTGCTCCCCCCCGCCTGCCTTCAAAAGCTGTCCGGCCAAGGCTTCGCAGACCTCTCCGCAAGCAGCGGCAGCGCTGCCGCTGCTTGCGGAGAGTTGCCGGCATGCCGAAGCCTGCGCGCGCTGAGATCAGCGCGCCCAGGCTCCGCGGACCTCTCCTGCCTTCAAAAGCCGTCCGGGATAGCGGGAAGCGCTTCCCTGCTATCCCGGACTGCTTTTAAAATGCTGGCAGTGGGGAGCAAAGCCTTTCGGCCCCCGCCAGCCTTCCTGGACCTCTTCTGAAGGCCGGAGGGGGGGGGAAAGGCTTTGCTCCCCACCGCTAGCATTTAAAAGAGGTCCCCGGAGATTTCCCTATGGGCTTTCGTCTTGCGAAGCAAGCCCATAGGGAAATTCGTTTTGCGAAGCGCCTCCAAAACGGAAAACCCTTTCGTCTAGCGGGTTTTCCGTCTTGTGAGGCGTTCGTCTTGCGGGGTACCACTGTATATAATTTGGTTTTGATTGGAAAATTTTAATACAGTGGTACTTTGGATTAAGTACTTAACTCGTTCCGGAGGTCCGTTCTTAACCTGAAACTGTTCTTAACCTGAAGCACCACTTTAGCTAATGGGGCCTCCCACTGCCTCCGCTACGCGATTTCTGTTCTCATCCTGAAGCAAAGTATTAACCCGAGGTACTATTTCTGAGTTAGCAAAGTCTATAACCTGAAGCATATGTAACCTGAGGTACCACTGTAATGTGTGTGTGTGTGTGTGTGTGTGCGCGCGCGCGCGCGCAACTACCCCAATGTCATCTGCTGAGCTCCATGATTGACTCAGGATGTGAACCAGATCTCTTCAGTTCTAGCCTGGGCATTTTAATGCTGCTATACTACTCAATCAAAGAGAATATGGGAGCACAGCTTCTTG